TAGTGTTTGCGTGAAGGAATAAAAAGCAATAAACAAATAACCGTAAATTCAAATAAAACAGGTAAAACAATCCAAATTATCTCTTATCTCTCAATACTCTTCCATGAGAACGCCTACTACCCCTACCTAATCGTCGTACCAAAATCAACAGCCATCAACTGGGTGCGCGAATTCAAAAAATGGGCACCGGAAATGAAAGTAGTCGAATACCACGGTGAAACACCAAATCGTAAAGTCATTGAGAAATACGAATTGTACCCATTTCCGGACACGCAGAAAGAACAACGATCCCTTAAATGTCACGTTGTTATCACCACGTACGAGACTATGAACATGAATGCGTCGGTGTTTGAGAAAGTCCCGGTGTGGCAAGCGCTGATTGTTGACGAGGCCCATCGGTTGAAAGGCGGCGCTAGTAGTCAATTGTTTAATACTTTGAAAAAGAGGTTAGATGTAAGGCAGAGTATTTTGCTCACAGGTTTGTTTAATTGGAAATTTATGATTTGTTTCCTAGAGTTGTAGGCTGGTTTTTTATTTCGTATTTTATTTGTTTAGGAACCCCACTCCAAAATAATATTGAAGAGCTATTTAATTTGATGAACTTTTTGGGACTCGAGGATTTCGAGGAACCGAAATTGATGGCTCAAGAATACGAGGAATTCAATAAAGAGAAATTAGACGAGCTTCACGAAAAGTTGAAACCTTATTTTTTAAGAAGAACTAAAGAGCAAGTTTTGGGTTTTTTACCTCCAAAAGTAATTACTTAGATAAATCATTGTTTTAATATTATTCGAAATAGTTCATAATTGTTTAACTTCATCCTAATTGATTAACAGGCGGAAATCATAGTTCCCGTAGCAATGACATCTCTTCAAAAGAAACTTTGCAAAGAAATCCTCGCCAAAAACGTCGAACTCCTAAAAACTATCACATCATCAAAAACCACTGTTGCCAAGACGCGAAAAATGAGTCTTCAAAATGTCTTGATGGAAGTCCGGAAAGTCCTCTGCCATCCATACCTGATGCCTGGCATTGAAGACACAGGCATTGAAAACGAATTTATCATACACAAGAACCTGGTCGAAGCCAGTGGAAAATTGATGCTTTTGCAGAAAATGTTGCCGAAATTGAAAGAGAAGGGGAATCGCGTGCTGGTGTTCTCGCAGTTTAAGATGCTGTTGGATATTTTTGAGGATTTTGTAATTAAGGAGGGGTGGGAGTATGTGCGATTGGTAAGTTTTTTGCTGTTTTTTATATCTTTGTGTATTATTAAAGGATGAGGAGATATTGAATGATCGTTGTTTATTATGTAGGATGGTGACATCAGTGGAAATGAGCGCCAGAGTAAAATTGATGCTTTTCAAGCTACAGATTCTAAAATTTTCCTCTTTTTGTTGACTACAAGAGCTGGGGGTGTCGGATTGAATCTGAGTATGTGTGACACAATGTCGTTTATTATCGATTTTTACAAGATTTAATTTATTTTGACTAATTATCAAAACTAAGCTGGCGCCGATACAGTATTCATATATGATCCCGATTTCAACCCTCATTCTGATATGCAAGCGCTTAGTCGCGTACATAGAATAGGGCAGGATAAGGTGGCTATGTTTCTATTCTTATTATAATATATTTTCTTGTTATTTGTTTATTTAAAGCTGATTTATATTTCTGAATCTATAGAAAGTATTAGTATTTCGGTTTGTAACAAGATCTTCTGCGGAAGGTAATAATAATTTCCATTACATTTTAATCATTAATTATCAATCTTGTATATATCCAAAACAGAAACCGCAATTTCTTCAATCCTAAAAAACACAAACAGAACGCATCCTTCAAATCGGCAAACGAAAACTAGTTCTTGACCATCTGATTGTTGAAAAAATGGAAGAAGAAAAACTTGATGCCAACGACGTCGAAAGTGTCTTAAGATTTGGCGCCGAAGCACTTTTCTCTGACGAGACTGATGAAACGGCTCTGAAGTACCGCGATGAAGATATCGAGAAACTATTAGACCGTAGCTACTTAGAAAATGCAGAACCTACTGATGAGTCGTCACAATCTAAAGACTTGCATGGATTGTCGTTTGCTAGGATCTGGGATCTCGAGAAGAACCAGTTATCGGAAGAGGTGATGGATGAAAGTGGTATGGGCAAGGGAAGCGATGATACTGAAAATGATGGTGACGGAACGGATATTTGGGAGAAATTGATACAAGAACGAATTCAACAGGCCGCACAGCAGGAAGCTTCGTCTCCTGTTAGAATGACTAGGAAGCGGACAAAAGTGGTTGGTTTTCGGTTTTTTTTTGTATTTTAAATTGGGTTGATGGTATATATTATTTTATTGCATTGTGATAAAACAGGTCAACTATTATGAAGACGAATTCGATTCACCTAAAAAACGACGCTCAAAGAAAGAAAAATCGCCTGAAAAGCCTGTTACAGAAGATAACGACGACGAATTCGTTCCTAAGGAGGACGAAATGTACGACTCATCAAGCACCGAAACCGCAAGCGAATACGAACAAGATGGGATTTTAGCTCTCGATGCTTCAACTGTGCCGGTTGATAAATCGCAACTACAAAGTAAATTCAAGATTTCAGCGTCATCGTCGTCAATGCAACAGCAGACTCAAAATCAATTCCAGGTTCCGAGTCAATCTCAAATGCCACCACAACATGCTATTCAAACTGCTGGTGGATATCTGGTAACTAATCCTGCTCAAAGAGGCGTCGCGGATAATTATCACCTTCAAATGCATCCGAATAATCCTAATGAGATATTATACGCTCAATATATGCAATACCAGCAAGAAGCATGGCGTCAAAGGCAACGACAAGAACAAGAACGAAAATTAGCATATCAAATGTATGTGCAGCAACAAATGCATAGACAAGCTCGTTATTATGGATACAATTCATCACCAACCCCTACTGTTCCATCCAATAATAGCAATAATGCTAATATTGGATATATGCACTCTCGAAATCCTACCACAACTCAGACAACCCATCATGCGACAAATAATAATGCACTACAGAACAATAATAGTAGCAATACTAGTAATAATAATAATCAGACACAGGCGCAGGCACAGACTAACAATAAAACTAATCAACAGAATTATATAACTAGTAATAATGTTGTTGTTGTGCCTTCAAATGACAAAAATAATGACAATATTAGCGCACATCAAAAACTTGTACAGAGCAGTAGCTTAACCTCCACCTCTAATACTAATCAGGGGAGACCTGTCTCGGATAATTTCGCAAACGATCAAAAACAAGATAAAAATTCAAATCAAGAAACTAAAACCATCACACCAAAAACAGCGCCCATCGTTCCTTCAACTCCAACGTCAAAAATATCACGTACTGTTGTTCCACCACCACCTCATGTTGAAGTGATTGACTTAGAGTCACCTCCTCATGAATCCGCGTCCGTCTCTCATTCACAAACTGCAGTGTCAAGTTCTGTTAATTCACGATCAACAGCACCTAAAGATAATATTGCACGAGCATCACCATCCACGATATCAACAACTCCCATATCGTCTACTTCATCACAAAGTAACCCACAAATGGGATCAAACAGGAATTCTTCGACGAAATTAAATAACACTGCTCGAACCATGACTTCATCACGTGGATATAAAAGCTCAACGACAACATCCAATTACACTCAGCCCGACATCAT